ACTTGTTCCGACGTCACCTCGTGAGCAGATACTTTGTGCTTGCCACAATGAGCCAACGTCTGGTCATCTCGGATACACACGCACATTGGCCAGAATCCAACAGAAATACTACTGGCCAAGACTTCCAGCTATTGTGAAACATTACGTGCGCACGTGCCTCGATTGCCAACGACGAAAATCGCCACCGTTAAAACCAGCTGGACTATTACAACCAATTCAAGTGCCCACGGTACCTTTTGCCCAAATTGGAATGGATCTCCTTGGACCATATCTGACTTCCCATGCTGGCAACAAGTGGGTAATAGTCGCCACTGATTATCTTACGCGCTACGCCGAAACAAAGGCTTTGTCAAGTGGCACTGCCGTTGAAACCGCACGATTCTTCGTAGAAAATATCGTCCTGAGGCACGGTGCTCCAACAATCATAATAACGGATCGAGGTGCCGCTTTCACGGCCGCGCTCCTGAAGACAGTGCTTGAGCTCAGTGGAACCGCCCATCGGAAAACCACTTCCTATCATCCACAAACCAACGGCTTAACAGAACGCCTCAACAAGACTATTGCCGACATGTTGAGTATGTACGTTGACGTGGATCACAAAAACTGGGACGACATTCCACCGTACATCACGTTCGCCTATAATACAGCGCAGCAAGAAACTACACGAAGAACGCCGTTCAGTCTCCTTCATGGCCGTGAAGTGACGACGATGCTTGACGCCATGTTAATGCACGACTGCAATGACATCGATTTGGACACTGCATCTTTTATCCAACGAGCAGAAGAAGCGAGGCAGCTTGCGCGCGTCCGAATCACCCAGCAGCAAACTTATGACGCCCAACGTTATAATCTGCGATACCGACATGTCGTCTATCGGGCCGGCGACAAAGTCTGGGTATGGAGTCCTATCCGCCGCCGGGGACTGTCTGAAAAATTGCTGAAGAAGTATTTTGGCCCCTACACAGTTTTACAACGCCTGAGCGACGTTAACTACGTGGTCGTTCCTGACAGCCCCTCGACAACTCGCCAGCAAAAACCAGACATCGTGCACGTTGTGCGAATGAAGCCCTACTTTTCGGACTGATTTACATCATACATCTACTACACCGTCTTTTGTAGAAGAGCATCGGGACGCTGCTCTCTAGAGGGGGGCAAATGCCACATTGAATATGCAGCACGAAGAGAACAACGAAGAACACGCGCAGCGAGTGAAGAAGACGAGGTTCTCTTCTGATCAGTTTACCAGTATTCTAATACAATTAAAGTGAGTTCCCTGGATTCAACTGCTGCTGTTTCTGCATTGTGACAATATTGTAACGTAGTTGTGTGGCAGCTGCTTCTCAACCACAGGATAACAAGTCGCGAACTATATGCATACCACTCTGCAGCAAGGAATGCATACGTCTTTTCAGCGCGAACCTGAGCTTTCTTTCCTTGCCCGTTTACCAGGTCCACTGACAATGTGTGCACGCATAATGAAAAAAATATGCATGATTCAAGTCTCATGATGGAGTCCACAGCAACTTTCCCTTTTTAACTTTTCTTCTGCAATCTACGTTTGCTCCACTAAGTCTGCGAAAATTAGGCTGATAATCCGCCTCGCAATTTGCTTCCTAGCATCTTTTCTAAACAACAATTGGTAGGGCGATTCAGATATTTTCGTCACAATATTGTTTTTGAACTTCAAACATCTTCCTCACAAACGCCGATGATCTGTCGACAAAATCCAAAGCACTTGCGTTACAAACCTTCAGAATATAATTTTGTTAATGCAAAATTTCACATGAATGTGATCATAAATTTTAAAAAAAACTTCACACGTACTTATACATTCGTTTTTCTGAGACACTACAATACTATGGCTATAGATAGTAAAGTCAAGAAGAGAAAATACGGAAGGGATTTGTAGTTACAATGCAACTGTTCGCGTTTTTTTTTCTTTCCATTTTTCGCTAGCTTGAGTTTATCCTTTCTGCACCTCAATAAAAAACTACCAACACTTATATGGTTCTCTTGGTTTTGTGATCTGTTGATTTTTTTATGTTTATGTCTTTGACCTGCAAGCCTGTTTTCATTTCGGCCCTTTCGTTCCTCACTCAGCAGAGCGTGACTTCAGAGCGGTGAGTGTCGTGTGCGTTAATTGAGGTGGATTAATGAGAGTTTGTGTGACTGTTCGAGGAAATAAAGTTTGCGCTAATTATCTTAGTATGTGATGAATGACTAACTAACCCAACAACAAGCTTTATTAAGCAACTAAAGGAACACAAGTTACGATATAGGTGAAAATAAAAGAATTAACTATAGAATACATAACCTAATAGTGTCGTTATTGAAGAAGTCAAACAAGAAACCTTTTCATGAATGCAGTTAGAAATCATTACGAAAAACGCATGTACGTGTAGTTTGTAATCAGTCATGTTTGAACTTTGGTGTAATGTACAGAACTTCATACTTGATTTCGCTGAGGCTCAAAAGAACAACTGTATTACAAATTCAGTTATGCAAAATATTACTATGATATTATAGTGGCGTTTAAAATTACCCAGTGTAATACAAGATTCTCCTATGAGCTTCGGAAACAATCCTGAGAACAAATAACGATACTACAATTCTCGTTATATCCGCCAATCAGTCTAACTGTTTTTACTGCCGCACCGTCTTTCGAAAAATACGACCTGCTGTGGTCGGGCAGTCGATAAATTACAAGGAAGGTTTTCGAAATCTGGCAACAAAATCTGCTTGCACCAGCAAGAAACAGAATCTGTCTGCGTACATCCTGCAACGCGGCATACAACACAAATCAAAAATAAGGACTATTCAAAGTGTAGGCTTTTTTCAGAAATAATCATACCATGGTTTTTGAAGTTTGAAGCTTGAAGTTTATTTCACAATTCTGACAATACATGAGACATGAGTTGTTATAGTGCCGGAGCTAATGGCGTATTTATACACGCCTCACTAGGCTCCTGGCACCTCGAGTGCTGCAGACAACAGCAGGCAACTGCAAGAAAAAAAAACAGATCCACAAACAGGTCTATATGCATATATGGGCATGTATATAAATGGCATAAACTATTTTGGGGCAAAAAACACCCCGATAATATTAATTTTTAAGCGTTTTCACTAGTTTGGGCAAACGAAATCTCGAAGTGCATTACAATGCGCACCGTGGTTATATATATATATATATATATATATATATATATATATATATATATATATATATATATATATATATATATATATATATATATATATATATATATATATATATATATATACGTTAGCAACATCTGGTGCATATATATGTGCCTCTTCGAAAGCTATTGAACACATTTATTGAACCAATCCAAGCGATGTTTGTTTCTCTTTTTAAACACAAGCGCAATATATTATAATTTTACCCGTCATGATAGCTTAGCGCGAAAGGTGCCACTCTGCGAAGCTAAAAGGAACGGACTCGATTCTCGGCCCAGGCGGCTGCATTTAGATGGGGACGAAATCTGCAAAACATACGATTGATTGAGTTTTGTCCCACGTTTTAGAAAAAACGCCAAGGGGTCACATTTGTTGAGCAATACCCCCTCCCCAATGGCCTGTCACATAATTATGTTGCAGTTCTGGCGCTTAAAACCACTACAAACTTCAATATTTTCTCATAAAGCTCTCAGTATCCATTTTAGCAGTTCTTCACTTTTACCTGTGCCCCGTACCTGCACCCCGTGGGCTGTGGTATGCGGGCGTAGCCACACGTGACCCAAAGAAAGGGGATCATGACTTACGCCACAGACACGTCATGATATTCTTCATAGTACACACATGTCTCGTACGAAAGTTTGGAAGTTCACCAAGTTAAGTAGTAGGGGAGAGAACCCACACATAGGCGCCCAAACGGATGGATAGATAGATAGATAGATAGATAGATAGATAGATAGATAGATAGATAGATAGATAGATAGATTAGATAGATAGATAGATAGATAGATAGATAGATAGATAGATAGATAGATAGATAGATAGATAGATAGATAGATAGATAGATAGATAGATAGATAGATAGATAGATAGATAGATAGATAGATAGATAGATAGATAGATAGATAGATAGATAGATAGATAGATAGATAGATAGATAGATAGATAGATAGATAGATAGATAGATAGATAGATAGTAATGTGCTCTGGGGTTTTTAAGAAATACTTTGCATAAAAAAACTTTCTCATTTCTGTCGGCTATAACATTTTAAAATGTAATCAACCACAGGCCACGTACTTAAGTAATTCAATTTGATATATTTTTAGTTTAACCTTCACACGCGCGTTCAAATAAAAGAGATCACTTACAGAAAGCACCAAGTTAAACCTAAAGCTATAATGGCAAGAGAAACAGTTTTTTTGTGAGCCCTGGGACTGAAATGGTCTTCTCAGTAATGTCAGTCATCCTTCCGACGTTTATAACTTCAGCACAGGTATCGAATCTTTGTTTAAATAATATTATCTTCGAGCAAACGTTAAGACGACTATGCACTACCATAAGAAAAACGAAGCAAAGAAAAATACGCTCTTTACTTATGATCTTTGTTTCGTCTGGTGGTGTTTAGGTACTTTATATTCCTCCTCTATTTTATCTACCAAGTAGCCCAGGAATAAATACGTCCAACCGTAACTTGTTTGCCCATCCCCTGATGTTGAGCTCTCGGAAAAGGGGCCTTTTGAGGCATATCAAACAAATATTCTTTCCTAGTTTTTATGGATTAGTGACCTAGGAGGCTTCCTTGGGTAGGTCAGCATTCGTCGTTGAATCATCACAAAATAACTAAGAGAATATACAAATATTACACGCCTCATACCTGAGCCTGCGCGTTTCTCGCAGTCGTTGCATTCTTTCTCTTGTATGGAGGTGTCTTCTCCGCTGTGAGTTGTGAACACGAAGAGTGTCTTTCCGAAAGTTTGAAATGCGAGCACTATGACAGTTCACACGCATGTGTCTTTCTTCTTAGGTGAGCAACGTTATTCCAGTGGCCGTAGACTTGTCCGACTGGGATGCTACACAGCGTGCTTTGGCCGACATTGGTGACGTCGACTTGCTAGTGAACAACGCTGGCATCACTAAACTAGAAGCATTTGGGGAAATTGAGCCAGATAGTATTGACAAGTAAGTTTTACATTGCAACCACACGTGAATTCTACGTGAAAAGAGAATTTTGTTAACTCTCAATAGGTCTTGCTTCTCGACGTTTCTATAGCTGTTGTCTTCATGCACCTCCCTGATGTTAGCACTTCCCGCCCACTATGGCAGTGGTTCTCGAATGCGGATCTGCGAAGCCATTTAGGGGGTTCTGTGTAACCCATCCTCGAAAAAGAATTCGTCAGATTCCACGTACCTTGGTAATCGATGTCTTGTGAAGCATTTGAAGAGAAGGTGATTGTGGTGTCATTTTTTTGTAAAGTGAAACGTTACGAAATGACGCTGAACATGCATACAATTGTTATGCCCATAGACATGCTTGAACATTCGCATATGTTTTATATAGCCAGATGTTTAACACAGTTGCGTAACGATCCCAAGAGCAGCAACAAGGGTATTACCAACACCAGATGAAGTAAACCTAAATATACCGCTTTTCCTTTCGAGGAGCCTTCATAGTGTCACTTAAACAAACGTCAGTAGATGGCTTTTAAATATACAACGCATGTTAACTCGACGTGATGCCTGTATCATAAAAGTACGTATGTAAAGCTGGTAAAATTAGATAGCCATCACTGCAGCCAAACGACGTTTTACCAACATTACGCCTGCATCGGGTCGTTCTCCAAAACAGTTTTGAGACCAGGCCTGGCTCTGTGGTAGAAAACTTGAGTGCTACGCAGAATGATTGGTTTTGATTACTGCTGAGACACTGATATTTAGTCTTTGAAATCGTCGGGTCAATGCTCGTGATGTAAATTTTTCTTGAATGCCCTCGCAATTAAATTACCATTGTGTGTTCTCACCGTACCTCGGTAGATATAATACGTCAGCCGTCTGTGGCGCATACCCGCATACCGTGACCTGTGGTGCACGGGTATGTGCCACGCGTGTTAGAGGAAAGGGTTTAACATCGCACGTGCCAGGACTTTAGGGGCGAAGCTCTTTATGGCGTGGCTTTGGCATCCCTCGTAGTACGTAACCACCAGTGGCACATACCCGAAATAGGTATAACATTTGACCTCCAAGGTGGTGCCGGTGAGAGATTTCTTCTGTGCGTTGTTTAACAATAAAAAATAGTGCTCAATGTACATGCCAATGGCTGCTAATGGGGAATGAGAGACAGGAGCATTCGGCTTTTAGTCAACGCGCACGCTGCGATCCCCATTAGCAGCCATTGGCATGTACATTGAGCACTATCGGACAAGAAAGGGTTGCTACATTATACTCGCTGGGTGTAACCTCCTTAGTTTTAGAAAGGTTTAGCGAGCGTTGAGCCGCCGGGCCATGAATACAATGAACTAGTATATACCATGAATGAATTCGAGGTGGTTAAAAGGGGAAGCAGATACGAAGCACAAGCCGTAAGAAATAAAAGCTGAATCCTCCTGTCTCTCATTTCACATTAGCAGCCACTGGCATGTACATTGAGCACTATCTGACAGGAAAAGGTTGCTACGTTATACTCGCTGGGCGTAACCTCCTTGGTTCTAGAAAGGTTTAGCGAGCATTCGGCCGCAGTGCCATGAATACAGTGAACTAGTTTATACCATGAACTCAAGGTGGTTGAAGGTGGGAAGTAGACCCGAAGCGCCAGCCGTAAGAAAGTGTGCGTGTGCCACCTCTAGTTTAGTCCTTGGAATGTCCACTGAATGGCGGTGCTTTTATACGGGGAATATATGATAAAAAGATGCGAGATGGTGGGACTTGGAGTGTTGAATAGATGGACGAACGGACACACAGACAGATGCATGGATGGACGCATGAACGGACGCAGGGGCGGATGCATGAACGAACGCAAGGACGGGCGCACGAACAGACGCATGGACGGTCACACAGACGGACGCATGGACGGACGAATGCTTCGCCCCACTCTCCATCATTCACTCCGTAGATATGCTGCCATTTTTTTAGATTATTCGTGTAATAACCAGACAGTCATAATCGTCAAACCCTCTTACCCGAAGGCAGCTAGATGGACACAGCTAGTTAGACGCAGGCAGCTAGATAGATAGATAGATAGATAGATAGATAGATAGATAGATAGATAGATAGATAGATAGATAGATAGATAGATAGATAGATAGATAGATAGATAGATAGATAGATAGATAGATAGATAGATAGATAGATAGATAGATAGATAGATAGATAGATAGATAGATAGATAGATAGATAGATAGATAGATAGATAGATAGATAGATAGATAGATAGATAGATAGATAGATAGATAGATAGATAGATAGATAGATAGATAGATAGATAGATAGATTTGGTCAAAGTGACTGCAGTGCGCAAAGGAATGCTTCGCATGTAAGAAACGAGTTTTTTAGAGGTATATACTTTGTCCCGACACAGTGGTCCGTTCCAATGTTTTCTGAGCTTTGCCGCAGTACGAGTTGACATTGCGGATGAGCTTACTTGTTTTTTCCCTTCAAGCAATGACTGTCAACATTTGTTGTTGTTGTTTTTTTTTGGGGGGGGGGGGGGGGCTATGCATGCAAGCATGCTTTTCGGAATTGCATATTTGAAAAGAAAACATAGCTGAAATTGGTTTAATGAGGTGGCAGAGGGCACAACTTATTGAAAAGCTGTTGAGATCAAATTGGCGTGACACCTTGCTTTCAACATTGTGTGCCAGATGGAAAGAAAAGGCACCTATTTCCGGCTGCATTTCGCACTGCGTGAAATGGGTCACTCCACCCTCTATCTCCCAGCAAGGGGTCCCTCATCACTTTCATTTGTACACAAGGGGGCACCCAAAACATGTAGGGCTGGGAAACACTGCACTATGGTGCTTTGGAACAGTTTCTTTACTAACTTGACTTAGAGCAGCAAATCTAAGCGCCGCTCATGATATAAAACGCGTGCATTTGTAGTAAATTGCTAGTCAGCCTCTCAATGCGGTAACAACATTGCAAACGTAGCATCAGTCTTATTGAAGATCCCATAAGTAATCTGTACGATCGTTCGTCATTATTCTATAGGGCGATGTGATAGAACCTTCTGGTTTTTTCGTTAATATCTTCACTATCGAAGTCATCTCAGTCGAAGGAAACACAGCAGGCAATTTTCAACTTTGCAGAAGATGTTGATGTGAAATGAATCAGTATATTAAATCTAATTTGCATAGTTTCTTCACGTTGTGTTACCGCAGCATATGTGAAGTAAGGAGCAACTATTGCCACCTGGGTGAAAAGTGATGGAAGATGACTGGTCACCTTTTTTCGAAGGCTATTAGATGCTCTTTTTATAGTCAGTCTTGCTGTTCAAGCCGTAAAGGTGAATACCGTGTTCACGAGTACCAGAATACCTCGTAAAATCTTGAACAGCCGTTAAAGTAAGCATAGGTCATGTTCAACACTGCATGAATGAAAGTCCTTTACGGGGGTTATGGGCTTTTGTAGGACGGGCCAGCATCGTATTGCTTACCATTTTTTTCACCCAGATTTATTTACCTCAGAGTACCTAAACGTTGTTTTTTCTATTCATGAACAAAAGCAAAATTATTTCGTGCTGTGTCTTCTCAACGTTGAGAAATGCACGAGGGCTTATGATTCTGGAGTTACAAACAAAGCTTCCTGAACTAATTTTTATCTAACTTTCTGAAGTTTGAAAGAACTGCTTGTCTGTTATGTACGCCTATTGGGTAGAGTAAATGATGCCTCATAAAATGCACATTTTGTTAGAGCTGTACACACACATAAAGCTTCCCGCCACATGACTTTTCGTTGCTAGAAATAAGAGGTCAAAAGCAACAAAAGGGTTTTAAAGATAACAGTAACCATATCGAATGACAGCTCCTTAATGTTGCCAGAGCTCGACGCGTGAGAATCGTGCAAAGATACTTGATTGACATGATTATCTCCGTTTGTTGCAGAATTTTTGCCGTGAACTTCAAGGCTGCAGTGAACATCTCGCAAGTAAGTTATCAGTCATACTCACATCACACTCTAGAGAATCTTTTCAGTTTGTCCCAAACATGGCCTCCCCATTCTAGCCGTTTTTTTAAGTGATGTTGAGGCCACTGGTCATATCTCTTTCAAAATCAAACAAGTTAGTCACGTCTCTTTGAACTCTCAATAAAGTTTCACTATTTATCTGTCCATCCGTATTCTGGATCATGTATTCGTCTAAAGCTGGCGACAGTACTTTCTTTCCTCAGGAGGGAAGTTTGAGACACCAATATATAGCCAAGGGTAAGAGCTATTGTTAATATTATCATCTGCAGGGAAAGCAGATTAAAATTATTATATTATTATTATTTTTATTATTACTATTATTATTATTATTAGTAGTAGTAGTAGTAGTATTATTTTATTATTATTATTATTATTATTATTATTATTATTATTATTATTATTATTATTATTATTATTATTATTATTATTATTATTATTATTATTATTATTATTATTATTATTATTATTATTATTATTATTATTATTATTATTATTATTATTGTGCTATTCATCTTCTTCTTCACACATATAGATCAAGTGTGACCTAGATGTTCTTGATTTGAATTCCCTTCAGCAGCATGATTTTATCGTAAATTTTTGGTTATGTCTTATACCCCAAGTCAAATAATCCACATACTCGAGTTACATACTACGACATCTGTCTTTTTTGTTCCCACTAATTTCACTCGTCACTTAAACCAACAATCTCTAAAATCCGCCTAAAAACTGACGTTTCTTTATTGACCACAACAAGTCACTCATATTTTCTTTTAGACAAGCTGATTATGGTGGCTTGTATAATGACCTATTGCCCTTTGATTGGTAACTAGTTATCGGGATAATCAACGTTGATTACAAAGCTCATCTGTTTACGTAGCTTATATTGAGCAGTATACGAAATTATTAGGGTTAATACACACGTACTCACGGTAAATATCATCATTGATTCTGATTTGTGCTTGTGGGGGCAAAAAGCATCAAGATCGCGCAAACAGTTATTCTTACAAGATATCCGTCAGGTCTTTTTAAAATGAATGAATAAAAATTTTTTGAAGTAACTAGTTTTTTTACCTAATATTTTGTAAACACCTTCTCAAGATGTTTTTACAGCTCATATATTTGATTCCAAGAAAAACAACCACTCTGACCAGCCAGCAGGGTTTCGGAAGCATATTCTCAAGTAGTTAAACTAAGGAGAAGAGGCTTTTAGACTACATTACTCAAATGGGGTAGAAGCCGAAGTCGCTGCCTGTTTAGGTGCGCATTTCTGATCCGTTTATTAAGTCCCAGACTCAAGCACTTCCATAATTCAAGTGTTCAGCTGCTTTACCACAGCTACTACAGTGATGGAGAGCTCATCTGTGAATGGGTTAAACTCTTGAAATAATTCTTATCATGCAGCACAGATGACATCTCGTCAGCCATTCTAAAAGCTTATGGTAGTAGCCCATTTCTCTTAGTAATAATTACTATATCTGATATCTGCTCGGATGCTTGCACAATACCTAGGGTGTGGAAAACTGATAGCATGTTTCCAGTGTTTTAGTCTCACTATAAAACTGAAACCTTGAATTATTGCCTGATGTTTCTTCTAGCAGATCCTTGAACTGGCTCTCCACAACATGTATTTTCGTGCGAAAAACTGTTTCCTTTCAAATCAGCATGAAGTTCTCACTGGTTGTTGAACTTTCACAAATTTTGATACTTTCATGACCAGATCTCCTTGCGTGTACTTCAGAGAGGGCAAGTTAAGACCATTTACTGCGACCCATAGCAATGTGACAGTAAATGATATCAAAAAACACTGATGTTAACTGTACAGTTGAAACTCCTGCATAGCTACTTTCACTCTAAAAAAATGAGTGATTTGTCTCTTTTTTTATATAATTCCGACTTGCCACGTTCACGGCACTCTGTTTAAGGAAGTACGTCAATATTCTTCGGGAGTCATTGTACTCCCTTTTGAGAGTCATGTGATCTACACAAAAATTAAGGTGTCTATTTAAAGAAAAGTATAAACGCTACAAGTCAGGACTCTTTGAAAGGAGTTACACATACTCTTTTTCTCTTAGGGTGTTTATGATCGATCATGCTGTGTTTTCGTAAATGGCCAAGAATCTTCTCTGTACAAGACTATTAGTGGGGTTCTTCAAGGGTTAGCGTTAGGGCCACTCTCCCTTTTTTATTTTTTAATAGTGACTTGTCTTTCGCAATCTGAAATTATTTCAATTTGTCTACGGCCTATATTGAGTTATTTCAGGAAGGTCTTTCTGTTAACGACCATTTCTTTTTTTGAGAACGATGAAAAAGTAATTACGTTTCCCGGGACACTGTTAAAGTCAATGTCATTATTCCCTCTTCCTAAACTTCTAACATGTCATTGTTATACTCTGGTAATAGTGCTTCGTTATGTAATGTTTGTCGAATCAATTCTCAGTATTTTATATGATAGATCATAGCCGCTTACTTTTCCTGCTCCCACTAAGCGTGCTTTCATGTGTTTCAAAGTGGGGTCTTCACTTTGCTGGCTCTCTTTGCAGAATATCTCGAGAATTCATTCTCACATGTCCGTACGCAAATTGTACATCACTATACTTTTTCCTCGACTCGAATATGTGTTTTTATCTGGAAAAGTCTTTCTAGCGGCGACAGTACTAAGACTAAGGGGGTACAGAAACGAGTGCCTAAACAAACGTAACCATAGTTTATCTAGAAGCAATCCCGGATGAACACCGTGCCTGCATCTTATTATAGCACTGCTGGACTATTTTCATTACTACCACATCACTGTCGACGAAGTCGCGCGTATACGCTATATCTTGTAAAGTTGGTTATGGCACCAAAACGTGCCCTGAACTGCTTGGTTCTATAAATTTGAAGCATTTCTTTGCACACTACAGACACTTTTTCTATCTATCTATCTATTTATCTATCTATCTATCTATCTATCTATCTATCTATCTATCTATCCATCTATCGGTCTATCTGCCTGCGTTTGGATCCATGCTCTCGTGAACGCTTTCTTAACTTGGGGTAGACCAATTTTAGTATGAGATCGGGAAAGAGTATGAGAATTATGGATGTCTGGTGTTGATTTATGACATAAATAATGTGAAAATCCCGTCGTGTACGACGGCAATCCTTCTGCTCCACACACGCGTGGCGTATATATCACGGGCCGGTGTGCACCAGGCGTTTCTGAAGGCGAGAACAGAGTTTGGTAATTGAAACGCGAGAGCGTTAGGTAAAATGAACCTCGGCAGCGTGTACGCGACGCATGCAAATAATATTTTCATCTTACCAGCATCAATCAAGCCAAAGCATTCTGTGTTACAATCAAGTATTCTACCACAGAGCCAAGCCGGGTCTCGGAAATATACTTTGCAACAAAGATCCTATACAGGTGTAATGTCGGCGAAATGTCTGGTGCGGTTTCAGTGCAGTCTATCTAATTTAAAAAAAAACATTTCATTTATACACCAATGATACGTCACATCTCTCCAACTACGTGATATATAAGTCACCTCGTCGAAGTGGTCCTAGCAGAGTGCATTTGTGCGTCAAAAAGAACCTACCTTCTCACCAAGTTCACTCAAGTGATTCGGACTTCTCGGAATTCGTCGCTTGCAAAGTATCCTTTGGTGAGCAGTGCGCAATAGTGATCAATTTTCACCTACAACCTTCAAGCCGCAATTCAGTGGAAGAGCTAACATATATCTTCAACATTTCTCATTCATATACGTTCATATGCGGAGACTTTAATGCGCACAAGATAATCTGGGGTAGTGATCGATGTGATGCACATGGAAACATTGCTGAGTGTGCTGCAGACAAATGCAATTTGACAATTTTAAATGACGGCTCCCCAACTTTTCTCCGAGGGCATAATTACTCGACTTGCATCGATGTAACCATGTGTTCCCAAGATCTAGTGAATGGTGTAGAAACACCATTCACTAGATCTTGGGAACACTTGAGAACTCATGAACGGATGTAGAAACACGTGGGAGTGACCATTTTCCCATTCTAATAAATCACCCCTACTTGCGAAATGACGACATCAGACGCTACAGCAAACTGACGAACTGGAAAGCTTTTCGGTTCACCTAACAAACCAAAATAGTGAACTCACGACAGTTGAAAGCTTTACTGAATTTGTGCAAGATAATACGAATAAATGTGCAAAGAAAGTCCCGATTCCAAAAGACTATGCCGGAGTCGATGGAGAGTATGAACTTCTAAAAGCCATCAGATGACGTTCAAAGAGGGCATATCGACACAGCAGAAGTTTAGAAGCATACAAAAATGCACAGAAAATCCACAGTGTAATGCGCAGACAGCTAGAAAATTCAGGTAAACGACGCTGGCGTGACTTTTGTGGCACGCTCTCTCCCCACACACCTGTTCCAAGAATTTGGCTTGTAATTCGAGCACTTAGTGGCCCTGTATCACAGAGCTTTCCATTTCGTGCTCTTGCTGTAGCCTTGGGCAAACCGGAAGCTGTGGTAGCAGATGAATTTTGTCAACTTATCAGTAGGCCCACCGCATCACAATGTGCCTTATTTGATAATTCTGTCGCGTTAGCAAGCCAGAAAATTAATGCTTGCTTTTGGGCCCAGCATACTCAACTAGACCCTGTATTTACGTTATGGGAGCTGCATTGTGCTATAGCATCATGTCGTCAAAAATCGGCCTCTGGACCGGACGGCATTACGTAAAATATGCTAAAGAACCTTGGGCCCACAGGCACAACTATTATCTTTGATATTTACAATAATCTATGGATGCAAGAAATTGTACCCGAGTCTTGGAAGTCTGCTCGCATCATTCCAATCTTCAAACCGGCTAAGACGCCCTTGAACCTTGAATCCTTCCGTCAAATCAGTCTGACAAGCTGTCTATGTAAGGTAATGAAAAAAATGATTGATGCGCGACTTCAATGGTGGTGCAACAGAGCTGGT